TCCCACCACCCCAACTGCAGAAGCAGTGGCCTCCCCGGCCTGGGACCCCCTTCAGTGTCCCCGAAAGGGAAGATGACGGCCCACCACAATGGGCCAAGCACTTGACCAGCACCAAAGACCCATGGGACTTTCCTCCTCCGAGGGTGATTCGACTGAATCGGCACAAGTTCAGGTGCCAAAAGCCCTATGAGGACAAAACATTCAAAGTCCCCGACTCTGGTACTGCAGATAGACTGAGGCATCTTAAAGCTCTGACAAAGATTTCATCCAGTAAGAAGACCTTGAACCCCTTAGAGGAGCTGAAAGAGATCAGGGAAGGAAAACTTCCACTTCCTCTGGAGGTTCCTGAGTGCAGGGAACCCAGACCATCTGCCTTACGGCCTGACACCAGAAAAAGAGCAGCCTCAACTTTTGTGCCCATACCTGAGAAGGTGCAAAGATGCCTGGATATGTCTACTGTCCTTGAACAACCTATGGACTTTGACCAGTCGGGCACCATACCACCTGCAACATCTTCAAGACACAGTGCAACGTTCAACGCAGATGACACAGTGCCTGGGCCATCTTCTGCTGACTCGTCCACTGACCAACATGGACAGGTAATTTCCCCACATAGTCAAGGGTCCCTGCTACCTTTCCCACCTACCAAAGGAGCTCTGGGATCTTCCACTTCTCCCCAAGATGCTCAGGGACTATCCCTATCCACCCAAGCTCCAGGGGCTATGGGTCATTCCACATCTGCCCAGAGGCCTCTCACTTTTCCTGAAAGGAAAATCAAACATGTCTCTTCTTCCAGAAGGGGTTTCAGAAATCCATCCTTTACTCAACGGATCACTGATCCCCCAAAGTGTTCTAGACAAGCCCCTTCTGACCAAGGGGGCCTCCCAAAGGCCCCACCAGAGAAAGAGGGTTCTAAACCTTCTTCTTCAAAAGGGGACCTCAGTGATTCCTCATTTCCCCAAAATGGTTTGAGTCCTACCACCTCTCCTCAGGGGATTTTAACACCTTTGAGAACTGCCAAAGGTGGAAGGAGTGCTACTCCCTCTCATGAAGACAGCCAAAGATGTTATCCCTCTCCCCCAAAGGGCCCTAAGCAATCCACTTCTGTTGAAGTGAGCTTGAGTCCTGCCTCCTCTGACAAAGACAATTTCATAACTTCCTCATTAAACCAAGAGGGCTTTAAATGTCCTACACCATTAGGAAATGGGCTCAGATCTTCCCTGAGAGCCCAAAGAGAGCTAAGCCCAACCACTATACCCCAAGTGAGCCTCACACCACTCATTCCTGCACAAGCACAAACAAAAGTATCTACACCTATACCAGGGCCTCAAGGACCTTTGCCATCTCTAGAAGGTACACAAGAGAGTTCTATCTATCCACAAGAGGTGCTGGCAACTCCTGAGTCTGCCCAAGGGATTCTTGGTCCTTCTGAACATACACAAAGGTCTCTAGGGCCTTTGCCATCTTCCCTAGGGGTTCTGAGTTCTTCCATATCTGTTGAGGGGACCCCAGGGTTATCCACATCTAGAGAAAAGAGTAAAAGACCTATTCTCTCTCACAAAGAAAGATTCAAATCTAATCCTGCTATGAAAAGGGACCCTGGACCTTCTCTCTGCAGAAAAAGGAGATTGAGAGATCCTCCCTCTAAACAAGGGAACTTCACAGTGTCCTTCACAGACCAAGAGGGCTTCAACCATCCCCTCCCAGCCAAAATGATCCTCCCGACTTGTTATTGGGCCCCAAATAGGCACACATATTCCAAAACACTCAGTGTGAGCCAAGCAAGTTCCAATGCTGCCCAGGATGCTGAGACAATACAGCCTTCACTACATCCTCAAGAGTCTCTACAACTTTCCACATATGTAGGAGAGGCTCTTGGAATTTCTACATATACACCAGGGACACCAGAACATTCCCCACCTGTCCAGGACTCTCTGGGTTCTGCCCTTTCTGATAAAGCAACTATAGGAGAGGGTACATCTACAAAAAGGTTTTCAGCCACATCCCCATTCTTGGAAATGGCTCTGGGATGTGACACATCTACAAAAGATGTTCACGGAGTTCGGGGTCCAACCCTAGGTGATCGAGGGGCTAGGGGACATGACACGTGTACAGAAGAATCTGTAGCCACATTCACATCTAGAAAAGGGGATTCCTTGGATTCCTCCTGCACACAAGCACCCACAGGACCTCCAACCACATCCCAGGAGTCTGAGGGAACTTCCCCACAAGCTACCACAACTACACAAGAGGCTACAGATCCTTTCCTGTCTGCCAAAAGGAGAGTTAGTCCTTCTACATGCTCAAAAGTGTCTCCAGAACATCCAGCAAATACTTCAAGGGCTCAGAATTCTAACTTATCTCCCCAAGGGGCCTTGGAACCTGTCCAGCTCACTCTGGAACCTGACAACTCTATGCAAAAGGCTTCATTGCCTTCTCCTTCTGAACCAAGTGTTCCTAGAACATCCACATATACACAAGCTCTAGTAAATTCCTTACCTGCCCTTGAGGCTCTTAGACCTCCCACAACTACCCAGGATGCTCTAGCAGAGACCACACCTACAGAGGAAGTTCTCGTAACTTCCCCTCATTCTGAAGCCATAGACAAGAAACACATATGTGCACTAGACACATTAGCACCTTCTTCATCTGATAAAGAGGGCCCAGGAGCTACCACATCTAAACAATGTGCTTTACCATCTTCCCCATATACACGAGAGGGGTTCATAAGGATCCCCTCTCTGGAGGGAAATATTAGATATTCTCCCTCTGCCCAAGTGGACCCTGGGCATCCCCTTTATACCAAAAAGAGGTTGAGAGATGACCCTTCTGGCCAAGGGGACTTCAGACCTTCCATGTCTGAGGAAGACAGTTTCAACAGTCTCCCTTCTGCAAAAAGGGGGCGTGAATCTTCTCCTGCTTCCAAGGAAACATCGGAAACAAGTACTACTCAGGTAAGTCTCACACCTTCATTATCTATTCAAAAGACCCTGGAATGTTCCACATCTGACCAAAAGACTTTGGGACCTGACCAATCTATCCAAATGTCTCTTGGGCATTCTAGATCTTCCCAAGAGGACCGAGAGTCTTCTCTGCTTGTCCCAAAGGGTCTAAGACATTCACCATCTGCCTCACGGGGTCAGAGACATTCTTTATCTTTGTCAAAGGCTCCAGAAAATTCTGTCCATGCAAAAGGGTCTTTGCTACTTTCAAAATCTGTCCTAGGAGCTGTGAAATCTTCCCTGTCTTCCCAACGTTCTAAGGGAAAGTCCACATTTATCCAAAGATCTCTTGGACATGTGCCATTATCACAAGAGTATCTGACATCTACTGTGTCTTCCAAAGTATCTAAAGATCCTTCTGCCTCCTGCCTTCTTGCTGCAGAACACTTACCATACCCCCCAGGGTCACCAGTACCATCAACATCTAAGCAGGGCTATCTCAGAACTTCACCATATGACCAAGTGTCTCTAGAAAAATCATTTCCCCCAGGAGGTCTGAGTTCTTTCCATTCTTCCAAGGTAACAATGGACCATGTGCCATCTGCTCAAGGGACTCAGGGAAGTTGTACATCTTCCCTGAGTTATTCTCGACATTTAAAGCCCCTCCGAGGAGATCTGGGACTTTCCTCATTAGAACAAGGAGCTTTGGGACATGTTCCCACAGCTCAGGGGGCTCTGGAAACTTCTTCATGGCCACACAGGGTTAAAGGACCTTTGGTGTGTTTGCAAAGTACTTTGGACCTTCCCAAGCCTTCCCAGGGAGCTGTTGGTACTTCACCATCCACCCAAGGGGTGCAAGGAACTTTGTTATCTTTCCCAAGCAAAGTAGGAACTTCCAAATCTGCACAAAGATTTTTAAGAGTTTTTCCATCTGCACAAGCAGCTTTGAAAACTTCTCCTTTGGCCTCTGTGGCTCTTGGACCTTTACCAGTGACTCCAGAGCCTCTGGTCCTTCCAGCTTCATCTCGCAAGACTCCTTCACATTTGCCACATGTTCATCAACATGTGGAGTTGTCTCAGTATGACTCAGGGGCCCTAAATTCGATACCATCTGCACAATGGCATCAGGGAAGTCCCTCATCCTCAAAAGAGAGTATAGCATCTGTGCATTCTGCCCAAGGGCCTGTGAAACATTCTGTATCTGCAGAAGAGTCTGTAGAATTTTCCAAGTCCACACAAGGGACTCCAGGACATTCTCTGTCTGGCCGAGGTGATATGGCACCTTTCCTGTCTTCCCAGGGGACATTGTCCTCTGTGAAAGTGGAGACATATTCCCATGTCCAAGGATCTCCAGAACATTTGAAAAATGTCTCAGGATTTTCTGGACCTATGGTAGCTGACCATGATCCTGTTTCAATTTCCTTACCTGCCCAAAGAACTGTCCCACATTTGCCATCTTCTCAAGGGGATGTGGGACATTCCCTGTCTGCCAAAAGAGCTCCAGAAAGGTCCACATTGGAACATGGAACTGTACAACATTTGAAACCAGCTCACAAGACTCTGATAAGACCATCATCTTTCCATTGGGGTACAGGGCATTGTCAACATGCCCAGCATGCTATAGAACATTTACCACCTAGTACAGGAGCTCCTAAACATTCTTCAACTCATCAGGGGACTCATGGATGTTTGACATCTGCCCAAGAAACTCCTGATATTTTGCCATCCAACTCTGACCCTGTGGCACATTCTCCTTCAGCCACTGGTGGTCTGGAATCCTCTCCACCTGCTCCAAGGGCTCATGGACAGATGGTATCTGACAAAGGGCCTGAAACACTTTCCTTATCTGAACAGGGGTCTCTGGGTCACTTGATATCTACCCAAGAGTCTCAAGTACATTCAGCACTTTCAGTAGGGAGTCTGACACCTTGCCAATCTCACAAGAAAGGACCCAGAAATTTGACGACTTCACAAACATTTTTAGAGTATGCTCCATGTACTTCAGAGAATCTAGGAGCTTTGTCATCTGCTCTGGGGCATATGGCACTTTCCTCATTAGCAAAAAAGTCACTAGGCCATTCAAGATATGCCAAAGCAGATGTGGAATCTTCTTCCTCTGCCACAGGTTCCTTAAGACCTATGGCATTTGCTCAAAAGTCTTTGGAAAATTCCTTATCTGGACAAGGGATTATAGAAATGTTGCCATCTTCCCAGGGGGGAGTGGAACCTTTCCTTTCCACCCAAGGGGCTGTGAAGCTGTCCACATCCACAAAAGAGAGAGTAGAAAATATATCATTTCCTGAAACGCCAGTGAAAACTCCTACTTCTTTACAGGAGACTTCAAGGCCATCTCTATTGATCCAAGACCCTCCCCAACATTCACTCTCTGTTACAGAAGATTTGCAATCTTCCTCATCTGGTCAGGGACCTCAAGGCACTTTGTTATCTGTGAGAGAAAGTGTAGAAGACACACCATCTGCACCAGATGCACAAGAAATTTCTCCATCAACTTCACAGGCCCTAGAACCTTTGGTAACTACCTCAGGGCCTCTGCAAATTTACACACCTGACAAACAGACTCCATGTCCTTTGCCATCTTCATTAGGGGAAGAATATTCCACTTCTTCCAGAGGGGTTCTGGGAGGAGCACTTCCTGTTCAAAATATTCTTGCCCATCTGTCAACTAGAGGAGAGGCTGTAGAGTCTACTCATTCTGCTCTAGGAAATACAGATATTTTTCCATTTGCTCTAGGGTCTTCAAAACTTTCCTCATTACAAAATACAACTCGAGATCTTTCCCTCTGTCCTCAAGGGGTAGTGGGATCTTTTCTTTCTGAACAAAAGTCTTTAGGGCCATCTCCATCTGTTCGAGGTTCTCTAGGACCATTGGCAACTACACTAGAGACTGGGGCGTCTTCCCTATATGGAGATGATACTGTACATCTGTCTGCATCTACACCAGGGTCTGAAGAACATTTGCAATCGACCCTTGGGTCTTCACCACCTACACATTATAACCAGATGAAGGTAGAATGTTTTCCATATGTCCATGGAAATCTTGAACCTTCTCTCTCTGATCAATGGGTACTGGGAATGAACAAGTCTGCAGAAAGGATTCTAGAAAATTTACCATCTTATCAAGGGGCTATGAAACATCCAAGTTGTTCCCAGGAGGATAATAAATCTCTATCTGGCCAAGGTCATCTACCACATTCACCATGTGTCACAGAGGCTTTGGGGACTGCTCCATCTGATCAGGGAGCTGAGGATTCTTTGTTATGCCCCTCAGGAAGTACAGAACATCCACCATCTATACCAGTTGCTCAGGTGCAGAAAACTGGTTTATCTACTACATGGCCTCAAGACATGTTATTAACTACAAAACAGCATCGCAAATTTTCCACAGCAGCCTGTGATGCTCTGTGTCCATTGCCATCCACCCTAGATGTTGTTGAGCTTTCTACATCATCTCCAGAGTGTCAGGGACCATCCCCATCTCCCAAGGGAGAGCTAGGATATTTTTCAACTATAGGACAGGCTGTAGAATATTCTCCAACAGCCTCACAAAGTACCAGAATACTGTCCTCAACCCAAGAGTATGGAGGGCATTTGTCATCTTACACAGGTACTCAGGAATCTTCTCAATCTGACCCAGGGGGTCTAGCACCTTTGCTTTCTTCCCAAGGTCCTCCAAAACCTTCCATATTGACTCAAAGGATGCTGGCTCCTTCAGCATCTGCCCAAGAGTCTCTAGAACCTTCTGAATCTTCCCAGCATGTTCTGGGAACTCAACAGTCCTCCCAGAGGATTCATGAATATTTTCTACCTGAGATAGAGCATGTGGATACTTTTACATCAGTTTCAGGGACTACTGTAAGTTCACCACCTGCTTCAAAGTCTCTACAGCATTCTTCATTACTACCAGTTACTTCAGCAACTTCTCCAAATGGCCAAGAGCTAGGGAGATCTAGCATGTCTTCACAAAGGATTCTAGAAATGTCACAATCAGCACAAGGGGCTTTATCACCTTTTGCCTCTGCCCAAGGTGATGGGAGAAAATCTCAATTAGAAAAAGATATTTTGAAACAGTCTATATCAGCACAGGGGATTTTAGGATCATTACCAAAAACCACAGGGGTTCTAGGATCTACTCCATATGCCCACAGGAAGACAGGTATATTGTCATCCACCCAAGAGGCTACAAAAGACTCTCTGTCTCCTCAAGGAGGTCTTGGACTGCCCATACCTGCAAAAGGAACTCTAGGAAATTTTCCATGTGAGGAAGGACCTAGAAAACATTCTGATTCATTCCAGGAGGCTTCTAGACATTCTCTGTTTATGCAAAGTCCTCTGGAACATTCACCTTCTTCTGTGGAGGTTCTGAGACCTTCTTGTAGCCAGGTAATTGAAAAGCCTTTGTTATCTTCCCCAGGGGCTGTGAAAGCTTCAACATCTTCACCAAATGCTCAGAAAACTCTCCAAACTACTTTAGGGACTCTACCAACACTGCTTTCTAACCAAGGGCCTGAGGAACAGTCTGCATCTGCCCAGGGTACACTGGGTTCTTTCTCCTTCAGCTCAGGGCCTCCAGAACACAAAGCATCTTCCCCATTGGTGTTGGGACCATCAGCATCTTTCCAAAGAAAGCAAGGTCACTTGTCGTTCAAAGATGAATCTCAGCATACAATATCATCTGTCCAAAGGACTACAGGGCCTTTGTCATCTCCCTCAAGGACTACAGGGTATTTACAACATGAACAAATATCGCAGGGATCTTTATCAATCTCAAGGGATCTAGCACACTTGCTATCTAATCAACTTTGCATATCTGCCCAGGGAACTCAGGGCCCTTCACCATGTACCCAACAGTCTCTACCACATTCAGCATCTTCACCAGAGGTTCTGAGACCATCAAAGTCTTCCCAATGCACACACAGAAATTTCTCTTCTGTCTCACATTCTTTGGGAATGTCTCCATGTGTCCCAGTGACTACAGGCACATTGCCACATACCCCAGTGATTCCTAGGCTTAGCCCAGTAATACAAGCAAGTCTAGCCCCTTCCCCATATTTGAAAAAAGATGGTGCATCATGTCTATATGCAAAAGAAACTCTAGAACTGAACACAGCAACAGAAGGCTCTCTAGAACCTTCACCATCTACTCAAGTGTCTGGGAAAGCTTCCCTTTATACAAAAGCCACTTTGGGACAGTCTACATCTGTGCAGGGTATTGAAGGCCATTCTGCCTGTACTGCAGGGACTCTAGAATCTAATAAAAGAAGTGATCAGAAGGAACTAGGAGCTTGTCCACCTACCCAAGTGTCTCTAGTAACTTCCTTCTCTTCACAAGGAACTCTGGGAACTTCTTCATCTGCCCAAGAGCCTCTGGGCCCTTCTCTGTCTGCCCAGGGGTCTCTAAAATTGTCCTCACCCACACAAGAAATGGAAGGAATTTTGTCATCTGCTCAAAGTACTTTAAAACATCAAACTTCCTCCCAGGAGGCTCCAATGTTCTTTCCATCTATACAGCCTGCTTTAAAAGGGGCATTTCCCTCCTCAGGGTCTACAGGATGTGCCCTGTCTACCCAGAAAACCCATGGATCGTTATGGTCTTCACCAGAGTATGTAGAACATTCACCATCTGCAACAGGTGCTCAGGAACAACCTCTTGCTGCTCCAAGGACTCTAGGACCATTGATGTCTTCTAAAGGGTCTAAGGAACTCCCCACAGTGGCAGATGGGACATTGCCTGTGCATAGTTCTTTGTCATCCGTTCAATGGACCCCAGACCCTTCAGTAAATTCAGGGGTTGGGGAATCATACCAATACTCCCAGAGTACGTTGGGCCCTTTGCCTCATGTAGTAGATGGTGTGGATTCTTCTCAATCTGATCCGGGGACTGTGGGACCATTGCCAGTGCCCCTAGTGCCTGGAAGACATTCTACTTCTACCCAAGGAGCTGCAGGATCTTTTTCATCTAACCAAGGGTATGTAGCTCCTTTTAAATCTGCCCTAGAACCTCTGAAACTTTCCATATCAGCCCAGGCAGTGCTGCATACATCACTATCTACTGAAGGGTCTCTACAGTCTTCAGCACCTTCTGCAGAAGTTCCAGAACCAAACACAAACTCCCCATCTACTGGAGCAACGTCAGGAACTTCTCCATCTACTGTAGGGCATATGGGTCACTTTGCTTCACCACAAGTGACTCCATCATCTTCTCATTCTGATGAAGGGGTTGTCAGACTTTGCCAATCAGCACAAGGGACTCTGACAATGCTCAAATCTACACAAGGTACTCTAGGGATCTCCTCATCTCCCCAACACACAGGGGGGCATTACTTGTCTGCTGAAGGCACACTGGGACTATCCACATCTGCACAACAAACTGCAGGAATTATGCCATCAACTGATGGAACTCTGGGATTTCCCCAAAATAGCCAGGTGATACCAGGATCTTTGCCATCTGATCAAAGGTCTCTGGGAATCTCCTTATCTGTAGAAGGGAGTCTAAAAAATTCCAGGCTGCTGAACGGCTTGTGCATGATTCTCCAATTCCCAAAGTACCTCCAGGACTATCTGTGTCTCCACAAGTGACTCCAGCGACACTGCTGTCTGATCGAGGATCTAGGAAACATCCTACTTCTTCTCAAATCCCTAAAAGAACTTCTCAGTCTGCCCTAAATTCTCTACAACATCCAGCATCTGTCCCAGGATTTCTGAATCCTTCCCAATCTGAACAGAGCACTCCAGCACCTTTGTTATCTCCTCCAGGTACTGGAATACATGGACCATCTGCCTCAGTTTCTCAGAAAATGTTCCCAGGTTCTGCAACCTCAGGGTATCCTGAACCTTTGCCATATGTTGGTGGGCCTCTGAAACTTTCCCTGTCTGCACAGGGAACTCTGTGTCCTTTTTCATCTTCCGTAGGAGATCTTGATCCTTTGGATTCTTTGCCTGGCAATCTGGAATCATCTCAACCTGCCCAAAGGAATCTTGGTCATTTGTCATATGTGAGAGAGCCTGTGAGAAATTCTCCATCTGTCCCAGTTCATAGAGCGACTTCACCATTGAACAAAGTCCCTAGAGGACATTCACCACATGTCCCAGGTGATCCAGCACCTGTTCTATCTCCTCGTTCCCTTCCACAACTTACTGTATCTGCCAAATGTTCTCTGAGGCCTTTGGCATCTTCCAAAGAAACTCTAGAGTCTTTGTCATCTTCTGCAAGCATCCTAGGAACACTCCAATCTATGCAGTGTCAGGAGAAACTGTCCCATGTAGGAGAGAAAATGGAGATTTCTCCACCTCTGGTAGGAACTTCAGTATGTCTAGCTTGTGCTCCCGATCATATGGGACCATCCTATTTGGAACAAGGTAGTCAAACAATTTCTCATTGTTCTCAAGGAGCTGTGGGTTCCTGCCTATCTACACAAGGGTATATAAGACAGCCCACAGCTACACAAAGGACTCCAGGCTATCGTTTATCTTCCCAAGGGATTTCAAACTCTTCTTCACTTAAACAAGGTACAGGCTCACAGTCCACTTCAGCACAGAGCCCACTAGCACATTCTCCATCCATCCCAGTGTCTCAGAGAGATACCCACCATGCCCAAAAGATGACAGGAGCAATGAAATTTGTCCAAGGGTCTCCAAAAATTTCTCTAAATGCACGAGGTTCTGTCAAACCTTTGACATCTCCCTGTGAGACTCCAAGATATTCATCTTCACCGGGTGCATGTAAAATGTCTGCAGCTACCCCAGGGCATGTGGTATCTGATGAAGGGATTCTGGGACTTTCCATATCTGCCCAGGCAAGAGTGAGTCCTTTCCTTACTTCCCAAAGGCATTTGGAAACTTCCCTGTCTGTAGAAGGGACTTCTGATCTCTCCACACCTACACAAGGCACTCTAGGACACTCTGTTTCTTCCCATGGACCTCCTGAGTCTTTGCAGACTGCACAAAGTGTTAAACAAACAAATCCATCTGTTGCAGACTCTTCAGGATCTCTTCCTTCTTCAATGGGGCACAAAGTAATTTCTTTATCTGGAGAAGGGACTCTAGGAACTGCTTCATCTTCCCTAGGGCCTTTGGCAATGTCCTTATCTGTTCCAATGAGTTCTTTTTTATCTTTCCCAGAAGCTGGAGGACCATGCCTGTCTTCACAGGGTACTCTGAAAGTTTCTACAAGTACACATGACAATCTAGCGACATCCAATTCTTCAAAAGGGCATTTGGGAGATTCACCATCTACTCCAGTGACTCTAGGATCTTCTCCATCTGCCCAAGTGGATTTAGGGGTTTCTCTACCTGTCTCACGTTCTCTGAGAACACCTGTGTCTTACCAGGGTGTTCTAGGAACATTGACATGTACACAAGGGGCTATGAAACTTTCATCAGATAGGCAAGGGAAAACAGAACCTTTGCCATATGCCCAAGATAATCTGGGACTTGGGTTTCCTTCCCTGGGAACTCAGGGACCTTCCCAATTTTCCCAGAGGGAAGTAAAAGTATTGCCATCTGACCAAGGGAATTTCAAAACTGCTCTGTCTACCACAGGGCCCATAAAAAATATTTTATCTGCCTCAGAATCACCAAGACTTTTCACTTCTGTGCTGCAAGATGCTAAAAGCCCTTCCCTACACTACAAAAATAATTTTGGACTGTCCACGTCTTCAGAGAAGTGTCTAGAATATACACCAACTACCCAAACTTCTGTGGAACATTCTCCATCTAGCCAAGTGTCACTGACATCTACCCCATCTGAACCAGGTACTCATTCCCTACCAGAACAAGTGTGGCAGAATGTGTCTGCACCCACAAAAGTGACTCTGGGACAGTCCCCACCTCAGGGAATGTGTGGAGGAAAATTATCATCTTCCCAAGGAGCTGTGGGCTTTTCTACATCAGGACAAAAGTCTCTAGGACATTTGTCATTTGCCCAAGGGTCACAAGAATCTTCCACATCTTCCCACAAAGTGGTAGGCTCTTCCTATTATCAAGAGGCTGTAGCACAGTTCCCATCTGTTCAAGGAGGTGGACTTTCTTCCTCTGCCCAGGGGATGCTGGGAACTTTACCATCATCTCAAGTTACTCTTGAAACATCATCTTCTCTCCAGAGAACTATAGAAGTTTCGATAGATGCACATGGTACTCTACAACTTCAGTCTTATTCCCCAGGGTATCTGCGACCTTCCCAATGTACTTCAAAGGCATCAGAAAAGTTGCCATCTCCCCAAATGACTTTTAAATTTTCAGAATCTTCTTCTTCAGGGACTCAAGGAACTTTGCCATTTGTCCCAGGTACTCTGGGACATTCAATATCTGCCCAAACTGCTGTTTGCACTTGTGATTCTGACCAAAATTTTCAGGGATCATCAACATCTCTCCAGGATACTCTTGAAATTTCTTCATCTTCTAAAGGTTCACTGAGATCTACTCCATCTGTGCCAGGAACCTTGAAACCTTTATTATCATCCCAATTGTGTTCAAAATTGTCTACATCTGCCCAAGGGTCTCAAAGACCTTCAATACCTAAGCAAGGGTGTTTACGAGATTCACTATCTACACAAGTGAATCTGGGAACTTCCATATCAGCACAAGAATATTTAGGGCATTCAAAACCTGATCAAGGGTTTCAGGCAACTTCCACATCTTCCCAAGAGAATCCTAGGACTTCTTTAGCCCAAAAGGCTTTAGCACAGTCATCATCTGCTCCGGAAAATTGTGGACCTTCTCAATCTTCAGCAGGTCCTCTAGGAACATCACTCTCTACCCAAGGTGGTAGAGAAACATCATCATCTGTCCAAGCATCTCCAGAAACTTCCACATCTTTCCAAAAGCATCTTGGCCCTTCTTTAGCCCAAGAGGTTTTAGCACAGTCAGCATATGATCCTGGAGATGGTGGATTTTCTCAGTTTTCAAAAAGTACTCTAGGAACTTCACCATCTCCCCAGGGTGTTACAGAAACACCCTCATCTGCCCACGAGTCTATAGAATCTGCAACATCTGCTCAAAGTGTTCTAGGAATTCAGTATCCTTGGAAGGGAAATCTGGGTCCTTCCAAATTTACACAAGTGACACCAGGACCTTTGCCATCTTCCCAAGAGGTTTGTGGGACTTTAAAATCTATCTCAAGGTATCTAGACATTTTGGTGTCTCTCCTACAGAGACTAAAACTTTCAACATTTGCCCAAGGGGTGGTGGGCCATTTCATATCTGACCAAGTGATAGTGGGAACACCTACATTTTCTCAGGAATCTCTGGAACATTCTCCATCTGACCAAGTGTCTGTGAAATCTGACCCATTTCAAATGGGGCCTGTAAGACCTTCACTAAAAGACCAAGGTTTACAGGAAATGTCTTCAGGTGAAAAAGTGACTCTACAAGATTCACCACACCAGCACATCTATTTAAGAAATACATTGTCTAACCAAGGGACTTTGGGGTTATCTATCTCATCACAAGAACCTCTTGGAAATTCACCATCTGCTCAAGGATCTCACAATACTTCCTTGTCATTCCAAAAGGCTCCAATCACTTATTTGCACCTAGGTCCTTTAGAAAAGTCATCATCTGATCCAAGAGATCTTGGACTTACTGAATCTACCCAGGAGACACTAGGAACATCACCATCTACCCAGAGTACTCTTGAAATACCATCTTCTAACCTTGGTATTATAGAAACTTCATCATCTGTTCATAATTCTTTAGGACATCTGCCTCCTTCAGGGCAGACTATGAAACCTTCTCTCCTTATGACAGAGACTTCAGAAACATTGCCATCTACCAAAGAGGTATGTAATTTACCACAATCTTCTCTGAGAATTTTGGAAACTTTGCCATCTACCCCAGGGTCTCTGGGTCTTTCACTATCTGCCCAAAGTTCTATGGGACTTAATCTGTCTGAAAAAGAAATTTTAGGGTCATCAATATCTCCTGAGGAAACTCTGGAACCTTCTTCATCTTACAAAGCATCTCTTAGACCTACACCTTCTGCAACTGGAACTGTGGTATCCTCCCCATCAGAACCAGGTTGTCAGAAAATATCTTCAAGTGTACGAGGAGAGTCTCAATCTCAGCAAGTCTGTGTAGGAAACTCATTGCATTCACAAGAAGTTCTGGGGCTGTCTATATTATCACAAGAACCTCTTGAACATTCACCATATGCTCAATGGTCTCCAGATGCTTTCTTGTCATCTCAAGGGGATCCAGGCCATTGTTTGGACAAGGGGCCATTAAGACAGTTGTCATCTGATCCAGATGATCTTGGACATGGTGAATCTGCACAGGGTACACTAGGAATATCACCTTGTACAGAAAGTCCTCTAGAAACACCATCTTCTACCCATGGGATTATAGAAACATCACCAACTTCCCAAGATGATCTAGGATTTCCACATCCTTCAGAGCAGCCTCTACAACCTTGTTCACTTACTCCAGAGATAGCACAACCCTTGCCAATTAACAAAGAGATTTTTAAATCTTCAGAGTCTGTGTCAGGGACTCTAGAAACTTTTGCATCTGTGCCAGGGGCTCTGGAAATTTTGGAATCTGACCAAGGTGCTCTAGGCCCTTTGGTAAGTGACCAAGAGAATCTGGGACAATCAACATCTCTCCATGATACTCTGGAACACTTCAAAACAGCCCAACAGCCTCTAGAACCTGTGAGATCTAGCCAAGAAAATGTTGGACCTTCCTTTTCAGCAGAGTTTGCAGGTGACTTTATGCCTCTTCCTTCACATGAAGTCTATAAAAGGCATTCCCCTTACCCCAAAAGAAGGCCCAGACTTTCCAGTTCTACTAAAAGTGTATTGATATGTGCCCCATTTACTGAAGAGGATATCAGATATTCCATTTCAGAACTTGATGCCTTAAGAGGTATCTGTTCTGCCAAACAAAGACTTGCATCTTCCAGGTATGTCAAAAAGAACTCAAGTCCTACCTCTGCTCTTCAAAGGAGTGTTCCTCTCCCAACATTATCAGACTTGAGCTGCAGATATAGTTCCCCTCCTACAGACGATCTCAGATATTCACCTTTTCCATGGGGTGTGTCTAGACATTCTAAATCAATGAAAACAAAATCAAGACATGATTCTATAGAAGCAGGCCTCAAGTCTGTCCCATCAGAAGAAGACGGCTTGAAATTTCACCATTCTTCTAAAGAGGGACACCACAGATCCTCACAATCTCATGAGAAGGGACTCAGAAGTTCTCCATCTCCCACAGGGGTCACTAGATGTTCCAAATCTACCAAAAGCAAATTGGAGCAGGCCCCCTCTAACAAAGCAGATGTTCATATTTCCCATTCAGAGCATGAGGGCTGCAAACATTCATCTTCACCAAAAAGAGGACACAGACATTCATCTACCAAAAGGGACCAGAAACCAAAGGATACTACTGAAGAGAAGATAGAACCTTCTATCTCTAAGGAACACCATAGATCCTCACGATCTCATGAGAAGGGACTCAGAAGTTCTCCATCTCCTCAAGGTATCTCTAGACATTCCAAATCTACCAAAGCAAAATTGCATCAGTCCCCCTCTAACCAAGGAGATGTTCACACTTCCAATTTACATCACAAGGGCTGCAAAAATTCCTCTTCATCAAAAAAAGAGCACAGACATTCATCTGCCAAAAGGGATCACAAACCAAGAGATAACCCCGAAGAAGGCAAAGAATCTCCAATCTGCACAAAAGGGGACATGGGAACTACTCTCTCTCATAGAGAGAACTTCAGACATTCCACCACTCCCTATGGGACTTCAAGCCATATTGATTCTACTTCCACCAGGACAAGACTCAGACATGCCACCCAAATTTACTCAAAAAGCCACCCAAATTTCCCCTGAATCCCAAGAAAGCTTCAGTTTATTTCCAGATAGAGACAGTTCCAATGGGAGTGTCAAACCTTCCTCATCATCCCAAAGCAATGATGTCAGACACCCTGTTTCTGCCAAAGATGGCTTCAGACATGATATTTCTGTGCAAAAGAAACAGAAACCTTCTACTAGTGCCAGAGAAGGACGCAGGCGTTTGCTTCCTTTCCAACAGAGCCTCATATATGCACCAGTTCCAAAAGGGAGTACCACTTCATTCCCTGTTATCCAAGGAAACTTCAGACATACCCTAGTTCAAATAGAAGACCTGAGATCTTCCCTCTCTTACCAAGGGAGAGACGCAGGCTTCCAATATGAATATGGGGCCCCCATATGTGACCCTTCTATCCTAGGAGGCCACAGATATTCACATTCAGTCAAATTCAATCTCAAAAGGATTGCACGGCAAAACAGGTGCTGGAGTTCTACCCTGTCTCATCAAGGAAGTATCACAACTTCTCAGTGTGACCAAAAGTCCATCAAACTTTCCTATAACTATCCTGTTCAAGACAAACTTAGAATGCTTAATTTAAAAAATGAGAGCATCATACAAAGCGCATCCAACACACTGAATCTCAGATGTGCTACTTGTGAACAAAGGGAATTCAGAAATGTGCCCACTAATCATGACTGGGCCAGAACTTCAATTTCTACCCTAAGAAGCCCCCGACATGCCCATTCTGACAATGGAGGCTTCAGACCTTACAAGCCTTGAAGTTCTAAAGATACTCATATCAACAGGAGACTCTTGGCCAGACTCTCTCTTAAAATGGCATCTTTAGCTTTTCTTGTCTGCAATCTGGCCCCACATTTTCCCACTCTGAGTCCCCCATGAACAATGGCAGTTTAGAACTTTTCCTTCTCATCAAACATCTGTGAAATCTTTGACTTCCATTCCTGGCTATCTCAGGTGCACATTGATGCATTACATAGAACTGTCTGACTATAAGCAAGGCAGGTGTTTCCCTTCTGATTAAGAAGAGGTCAAAGTTACTACCTGGAGCACGCTATACAATTTGCTACTGGTAAGCCACTGTTGAAATAGGGAGGCCATTTCTCAAAATGTTGGTTATCAATCTACAAAAAAGAACAGCATAATCACTCTTGGGCATATAACCAAAGGATGCACAACCATATCACATTGCACTATAGTGATGTCACAGTGTATAATTGTGTACAGAGAGCACTATAGTGATGTCACAGTCAATAATTGTGATGTCATAGTGCAGTATATTGATGTCACAGTGTATAATTGTGATGTCATAGTGCATGATAGTGATGTCACAGTGTATAATTGTAATGTCATATTGCACTATAGTGATGTCACAATGTATAATTGTGTTCACAGAGCATTATAGTCATGTCACAGTCAATAACTTGTGATGTCATAGTGCAGTATATTGATAACACAGTGTATAATTGTGATGTCATAGTGCAGGATATTGATGTCACAATGTATAATTGTGATGTCATATCGCACTATAGTGATGTCACAGTGTATAATTGTGATGTCATATTGCACTATAGTGATGTCACAAAGTATAATTGTGTTCATAGAAACTATATTGATGTCACAGTCAATAATTGTGATGTCATATCGCACTATAATGATGTCACAGTGTATAATTGTGTTCAGAGAGCAATAATTGATGTCACAGTCAATAATTGTGATGTCATAGTGCAGAATTATGGTGACACAGTGAATAATTGTGAGGTCACAGTTCATTATATTGATGTCACAGTGTATAATTGTGATGTCACAGTGCAAGCTAGTGATGTCACAGTGTATAATTGTGTTCATAGAGCACTATAGCTATGTCACAGTCAATAATTGTGATGTCATCCTGCAGTATATTAATAACACAATGTATAATTGTGATGTCAAAGTGCAAGATAGTGATGTCACAGTGTATAATTGTGATGTCATATTGCACTATAGTGATGTCACAATGAATAATTGTGTTCATAGAGCACTATAGTGATGTCACAGTCAATAACTGTGATGACATAGTGCCAATTGTTATGTCACAGTCAATAATTGTGATGTCATAGTGCAGTATATTAATAACACAGTGTATAATTTGATGTCACAGTGCAAGATAGTGATATCATAGTGTATAATTGTGATGTCATATAGCACTATAGTGATGTCACAATGTATAATTGTGTTCATAGAGCACATATAGTGATGTCACAGTCAATAATTGTGATGTCATAGTGCAGTATATTGATAACACAGTATATAATTGTGATGTCACAGTTCAAGATATTGATGTCACAGTGTATAATTGTGATGTCATATTGCACTATAGTGATGTCACAGTGTATAATTTTGTTCATAGAGCAATATAGTTATGTCACAGTCAATAATTGTGATGTCATAGTGCAGTATTATTGATGTCACAGTGTATAATTGTGATGTCATAGTCACACTATAGTGATGTCACAGTGTATAATTGTGTGCCATAGAGCAGTATAGTGATGTCACAGTCAATAATTGTGATGTCATAGTGCAGTATTGTGATGTCACAGTGTATAATTGTAGATGTCATCAGTGTCATTATAGTGATGTCACAGTGTATAATTGTGATGTCATATTGCACTATAGTGATGTCACAGTGTATAATTGTGTTCATAAGCACTATAGTGATGTCACAGTCAATAATTGTGATGACATACTGCAGAATTGTGATGTCACAGTCAATAACTGTGATGTCATAGTGCAGTATATTGATAACACAGTATATAATTGTGATGTCATATTGCACAATAGTCATGTCATGATGTATAATTGTGATGTCATAGTGTACTATAGTGATGTCACTATGTACTATAGTGATGCCACAGTGGATAATTGTGATGTCACAGTGCACTTTAGTGATGTCACAGTGTATAATAATGCTCATTGTGCACAAAAGTGATGTCACAAAGTACAGTCTTGATGTCATAGTGCACTATGGTGTAAAATTGTGGTGTCATAGTGCAGTATCATGATGTCACAGTGGAAAATTTTGATGTCATAGTGCAGTATAGTGATGTCACAGTGTATAATTTTGGTGTCATATTGCATTATAGTGATGTCACAAAGTATAATTTTGTTCATAGAGAACACTATTGATGTCACAGTCAATAATTGTGATGTAATAGCGCAGTATATTGATGTCACAATGTATAATTGTGATGTCACAGTGCAAGATAGTGATGTCACAATGTAGAATTGTGGTGTCATATTGCACTATAATGATGTCAGAGTGTATAATTTTGTATATATTGCACTATAGTGATGTCACTGTCCATAATTGTGAAGTCATACAGCAGGATTGTGATGTCACAGTCAATAATTGTAGGGCAAGTCCATTATATTGACATCACAGAGTATAATTGTGATGTCATATTGAACTAGAGTGAACTCACAGTGTATAATTGGGTTCATAGGAACTATGTTGATGTCACAGTTAATAATTGTCATGTCATACTGCAGTATATTGATGTCACAGTGAATAATTGAAAGTCACAGTTCATTATATTGATGTCACAGTGTATAATTGTGATGTCTCAGTGCAAGCTAGTGATGTCACAGTGTATAATTGTGTTTATAGAGCACTATAGCTATGTCACAGTCAATAATTGTGATGTCATATTGCAGGATATTGATAACACAATGTATAATGTGATGTCAAAGTGTAAGATCGTGATGTCACAGTGTATAATTGTGGTGACATATTGCACTATAATGATGTCACAGTGTTTAAATTTGTACATAGAGCACTATAGTGATGTCACAGTGTATAAATTGGTACATAGAGCACTATATTGATGTCACAGTCAATAAACGTGATGTCATAGTGCATTATAGGGATGTCAGAGTGTATAATTGTGAGGTGATATTGCACTACAGTGATGTCAAAATGTATAATTGTGTTCATAGAGCACTATAGTGATATCACAGTCAATAAATCTGATGTCATAGTGCAGTATATTCATAACACATTGTATAATTGTGATGTCATAGTGCAGGATTTTGATGTCACATTGTATTATTGTGATGTCATATCACACTATAGTGATATCACTGTATATAATTTTGTTCACAAAGCACAATAGTGATGTCACAGTCAATAATTGGGATGTCATAGGACAGTATTGTCGTGTCACAGGCAATAATAGTAGGTCACAGTCCATTATATTGATGTCACGGTGTATAATTTTGATGTCATATCGCACTATAGTGATGTCACAGTGTATAATTTTGTGCATAGAGCACAATAGTGATGTCACAGTCAATAATTGTGATGTCATAGTGCAGTATATTGATGTCACAGTGCAAAATTGTGATATCATATCACACTATTGTGATTTCAAAGTGTATAATTCTCTTCATAGAGCACTATAGTTATATCACAGTCAATAATTGTGATGACATAGCGCAAGATTGTGATGTCACAGTCAATAATTTTGATGTCAAAAAGCAGTATATTGATAACACAGTGAATAATTGTGATGTCTCAGTGCAAGATGGTGAAGTCACAGTGTATAATTTTAATGTCATTTGCACTCTAGTGAACTCACAGTGTATAAATGTGTTCATAGAGCACAATTCTGATGTCACAGTCAATAAGTGTGATGTCATAGTGCAGTATAGTGATAACACACTGTATAATTTGATGTCACAGTGCAAGATAGTGTTATCACAGTTTATATTTGTAATGTCATACTGCACTATACTGATGTCACAATGTATAATTGTGTTTTAGACCACAATAGTGATGTTACAGTCAATAGTTTTGATGTCATAGTGCAGTATATTGATAACACAGTGTATAATTGTAATGTCATAGTGCAGGATATTGATGTCACTGTGATGTCCTATTGCACTATAGTGATGTCACAAAGTATAATTCTGTTCATAGAGAATTATAGTGATGTCACAGTCAATAATTGTGATGTCATAGTGCAGTATATTGATGTCACAG